AATATCTTCTTGTGAAGTCTCCACCTTCCTTTCCACATCTTGAATTTTATCATCAAAAGAGTCAACTTTATCTTCCACTTCCTCCAGTCTTGCATCCAGCTTCACCACCACCGTAGCCAAGCCTGATACTGCTGCAACTATATCTTGTCGCAAGATGGTATTATTAGCTTCTAATAAGCCCTTTATCCCACTTATCTCTTCTTTAATGTCAGATTTAATATCAGATTTAATCTGTATAACAAATTGCTTCATTTCATCTCTCATTTGAGACATAGCATCCCCCATTATACCTTTAACCTCTTGTGCTGACAGGCCTGGCAAAGGAGGGGAGGGTGGTGGCTGAGCCGGTGGTACATGTTTAAGTTGTTGTTGTGGTTGTGCAGTAAGAGTTGTAGGGGAAGAAACCACCTTAGGTGTTGTCGAAGGCAGCTGTCTCTTTGAAGCCATTTTATATGACACCGTTCTCACTTCCCTTCTCCCCAAGGAGGGGGGAGGAGGAAAAGATTTTTTTTTTCAAAAAAACAGCACCAACATAATCCTTAAAAAATCCAAAAAAGAAAAAGAGAAAAAAGTCAAAGGAAAAATCCAGTACCAAGAGCAAAAATATCAAAAGCAAAATCATTAAAATCCAGTCCTTTAAAAGTAAAAAAAAACTAAAGAAGGGAAAAAAAAAACTCCGACACTTTCAAAACGCCATCTTAATTCCTCTCTCCGTACCAAAAAAAAAAGAACAAAGGAGAAATAACCAAAACTAACCAAAACTAACTAAAGAAAAAAGAAATAAAGCCCTAAACTATAAAAAGAAAATCCTTTAATCCGCTCTGTCCGTTTTAAAAGTTACTCACCAAGACACTATATTCACGGAGATAGAGGCGGCGGTTTCTTTTGCTTCAAAGGAAGCAAAAACAGCTGGGAGGCGGAGATCAGCAGGAGCTCCGAGGGAACACTCCTTTCACCCCCTCTAGGAATAAATCCAGAGGGGGTTCAAGGGTTCTACCTCTACTCCTGCGTTCTCTATCCCTTCCCTTTGCCCGGGAAGGGAATTGCGAACCGCGGGCCAGCTGATACGCGCTGGGCTCCGCGATTCTGACACCTTCCCAGCTGGACGGCTAAGAATTAGCCGCCATCGCCGTCGCCCCGTACCGGAAGCTCGCAACCTCAGCAAATTCTTACAGGAGTCAGACAAGATGTCAGAGAAGAGAATGGAAAGAACAAAGAAATTATGAAAAAATAAGTGAAATATTTAAGCCAGGGAGTCTGTACTTTACACAGTGCTGTTACTGTGCAAAGCTTCCACCTTAGGACTGTTTTGAACTGCAGATCTTAGCATATGAAAATTGGTTCTTTACCAACAGCAAAAGCACTTAGACATATACCACTTCACAGTGCTTTACAGCCCTCTCTAAGCCATTTATAACTTATATTTACCCCAACAATCTGGGTCCACATTACTGATCTTAGAAGGATGGAAGTCTGTATCAACCTTGAGCCCATCAGGATCGAACTGCTGGCAGTCAGCAGAATTAGCCTGCAATACTGCATTCTAACCACTGTGCCATGACAGTTCTAGCATTTCTTTAGACCAGACATGTCAAACACAAGATGCAGATGCAGATGCAGCCTGCAAAGTGGTTTCATGTGGCCCGCAAAGCCATCCTGGAAACAGCGAGGGAACGGCCCCCGCTGCCTTGTCCCTGGCCCACGCCGGCCAGGAGCCAATGTACAATTTTGTCGTGGCCATCTATGCTGAAATGCATTCAGTCTTAGCTCCACAAGGCCGTCTGGAAACAGTGAGGAACCAGCCCCTGCCGCATCAGCCCCACCCCCTGGGTGCATGCTGGGAAGGTGTCACCTTTATGTGGAATGAAGAAATGCACCATCGCCTGGAAGTGGCCAGCAAATGGCCCTTGCCTATTTCACATATCCAGCTTGATGGGCTCTGCCCTGGTCCCACCCATTTCTGCCAGAGACCCTCAGATATGTCCCACTCCTGCCCAGGCCCCCACAGGCACCCTTGATGTGAATGATGTAGAGCTGGCCATGCCCATTCAGTAGGCCACACCCACTCCATCCACGCCCACCCAGTAGGCTGCACCCCCACCCCCACCCCAAGGGCAACCGCAATGCTGATGCGGCCCTCAATGAAATTGAGTTTGACACCCCTGCTTTAGACAAAAACCTTTGAAGATTCCTGATTTATGCTGCAGTCCAATTTATGCCTTCAGATAGCTAAAGCTCCTTCAAACTGAGCCTGACTTATAATATCCATGTTGTCTTCCTAGCCACATGATAGAAGTGATTGATTTTTCTTCTTCCAGAGTATTTTTACTTCCTAGTCTACCTTACAGTTCCAATTTTTCCTAGTGGTCTTTCAGTCTAAGTGCTAAGCAGATCCACCCTGTTTATCTCTTTGAGATCTATTTGTAGTAAATTCTGAGTTGAAGCTATTCTAATAGTAATGAATACTATTACAGTTTCCATTATTTAGAAGATTACAGGTTATTAATGTGGAAAAGGAGCTAAGATGCAGAACAGGGATAGAGAAACTGCAGCCCCCACAGATAGAACTACACTACCCAGTAGCCAAAATGTCCATTAATTAGGAGTGCTAAGAGTTCAGTAACATCCGAATGGCCACAACTTCTTACGTGGGTTAAAAGCCAATTAAGAACCTCTCTCTCTCTCTCTGTTTGAATGAGGTAGCTATTATTATCCCAAAGAGGGAATGAATATACCATTGTGCAGAAAAGATACATTTTGTACTACCTAAAAAAACAAATGTAAAAAGAAACTTGTATTTGGTTGACAATTTAGAGATTTTGTTGTCCAAGGCTTCTGTTTAGATCTTTAGTATGTGGAATATTATTTTGCTTCCATTTATATTCTCTAACAATTGTATTTTTTTAAAAAATGTCATCATTCTCCAATGACTCCTTCTCCAAGAAAATCACACCCAGACAGCTGGAACTTTTCACCGTGTCAGGAAACAGAGAACCGTGTCAAGGAACTCCACCATCACATGCCTTAAATTAGAATGTATTCATGAAGACAATGATGATTGTATACATTTTAATTTTATTCAAATGGCAAACTATCTTGTGCATGTCAACTCAAAAGAAAATCCCAGTGATTTTCATTCTAGTATCAGAAAATGGCAATTGCAGCATAAATATAAAAATGTCTGGCGCAAAAGATCCCATGGCTAGCAAAAATGGTACTAACTATCTTCTCTTGGTCTGACCTGAGGTGAAAAAAATTATCACTTATTACACTTTTAAACTATCCCCATTTGTATTTAATTATATACATAAACACGGAAAACATCAACATAAGAAATATATTTCAAATGCAAGTTACAGCTTCTTGAATATGGAAAACATCCTTCCCCATAAATAATGTGTATATCAGCTATTCAGCACAAAAACTATTATTATCATTTTTAAGTTTATATGCCACCCCTCTACCCAATAAGGCTACTCTGGCAATTTATGCAGAGTAAGCTATGCAGGCACACCAAGATCAAAAGCATATGCTGGGTTATCTCACCTCTATCACCTTCATCTTTGTGTGTGTGTGTGTGTCACTCTCCAAATTAAATTAAATATCCAACAGTAATTCATACCGTATAATTTCCAAAAGTCCTATTTAATTCAAAAAGCCATTTTCAGCTGGAATCAAAGAAGTGCTACTATTTGTGTGAGTTTGTGACAAAGAGAATGTGTACTACGTGCATGCACACAGGCTTAATTCTTTCTTTGTCAGTTTTATTTATTATATTACTGCATTTATACTTCATCTTATATCTCATATATTTTTATCTTATGTACATAATAGAATTCCAGCAAATATGGAAGATCTCAAGAACACATTAACTAAGATCCAAACTGCATTACAATATAGGAACACATATGTATATCTTCAGTCCAGCCTCCCTAAATTTGATGCCTGTCACTTGTTTTAGACTTCAGCTTTCGTAGTCTCCCTCTGTGATTCTTTCTAATTCTCTGTCCTCTGCCAGCAGCCAGCATCTTGGGACAATTTTTCGTGGCCAAGTTAATCTTCTACCTAACAGTTTTTGAGCTGGCAGGAAACGATGGCCATGAAATTTGCTCTTGTCGTTGGCAATACCTACCCTAATACAAACTGGTTATTAGAAAATTGTGTTGTCCTTATTTATACCACATCAAGGACAATGATGGATGGATGACTCAGCCTTCTTACCCTCTTGTCTGCCCCCATTTCCAAAAGCTCTAGCAGAAAACCTCCACCAATCTCTCTCCTTAATATGGGGTGGCAAACAGAAGGAGGCAGAGATTCACAGGCAGCTAGGTTGGCTGGTTTAGCCATCTGCCCAAACCGACTTCTATACAAGTATTTTGTACTGGTGCTTCCACAAAAAAGGCAGAGTCCCTTGACTCTCCTTGTTACTTGACATGAAGGCAATGAGAAAATGACGCTTGCAAAAAAAAATTGCAAAATGTGAATATTTCAGTCTACTAACCCAGTACCGTATTTTCCGGCATATAGGACGACTCGGCGTATAAGACGACCCCCCGACTTCGGCGCCGATTTCCATGCGTAGCAAGTCGTCTTATACGCCGGAAACTACCGTAATTTCCGGCATATAAGACTCAGCGTCTTAGCTGATACTTCAGGAAAAACATTAAATTAGCTAAGCTATCTTATGATGGCGTAAAGGGCAAAGCTGACTTTCCCTGGAATGTTGTTTCCATCTTATTCAGTGCTTCACTGGATCTCTCCGTGGAATGTCTTGTGTCCAGTCTTCAGATGTTGCCTGGCAAGAGGGCTATTGGGATAAAGGTGGGTAAAACGAGCCAATGCAAAGATCAGGAAAGATGTTGCGGTAGGCTGAGTAATGGAGAGTGCCAGCTTTGTAGAATCCAGTAGCAATATCACCCTAAAAAGAGGTAAGAAAGGAATGCTTATGCTTTAATGCTTTCACATTAAAGATAAAAACCGAAACAGCATAGGATGTTTTTGAGCTGGCAGGAAACGATGGCCATGAAATTTGCTCTTGTCGTTGGCAATACCTACCCTAATACAAACTGGTTATTAGAAAATTGTGTTGTCCTTATTTATACCACATCAAGGACAATGATGGATGGATGACTCAGCCTTCTTACCCTCTTGTCTGCCCCCATTTCCAAAAGCTCTAGCAGAAAACCTCCACCAATCTCTCTCCTTAATATGGGGTGGCAAACAGAAGGAGGCAGAGATTCACAGGCAGCTAGGTTGGCTGGTTTAGCCATCTGCCCAAACCGACTTCTATACAAGTATTTTGTACTGGTGCTTCCACAAAAAAGGCAGAGTCCCTTGACTCTCCTTGTTACTTGACATGAAGGCAATGAGAAAATGACGCTTGCAAAAAAAAATTGCAAAATGTGAATATTTCAGTCTACTAACCCAGTACCGTATTTTCCGGCATATAGGACGACTCGGCGTATAAGACGACCCCCCGACTAGCCGATTTCCATGCGTAGCAAGTCGTCTTATACGCCGGAAACTACCGTAATTTCCGGCATATAAGACTCAGCGTCTTAGCTGATACTTCAGGAAAAACATTAAAAGCTAAGCATCTTATGATGGCGTAAAGGGCAAAGCTGACTTTCCCTGGAATGTTGTTTCATCTTATTCAGTGCTTCACTGTCTGGATCTCCGTGGAATGTCTTGGTCCAGTCTTCAGATGTTGCCTGGCAAGAGGGCTATTGGGATAAAGGTGGGTAAAACGAGCCAATGCAAAGATAGGAAAGATGTTGCGGTAGGCTGAGTAATGGAGAGTGCCAGCTTTGTAGAATCCAGTAGCAATATCACCCTAAAAAGAGGTAAGAAAGGAATGCTTATGCTTTAATGCTTTCACATTAAAGATAAAAACCGAAACAATAGGATGTGATAGTTACTCATACAAAGAACAAACCTCTTTCATAAATTGCCCAGAACTTAGTTGGTAAATAAGGTGGAAGAATCAGCTCTCTAACTCTTTAAAAGATAGTCTTCCTATTAGACTAGGTAGGATAATCTATGGCAGCAGAGAGCAAGAGACACCAGGGAGGTGTTGGGGGGAAAAAAACCTTTCTTAATCAGTACAGCTGATTTTTTTCCCCACAACAATAGTGCCAAAATTTATTTCCCCATGTTTTAGAACTGTAATATGTAACTCGGTCCTCTGAAAAATATTTTGGCATCTGAGAGCAAATATCCAAATTCTGTATGGCGAAACCAGATCTACCTGCCAAATCAAACCAATCCTTGTCTCAGGCTTACGTGTTGTGCTAAGAATGTGAATGTTTCCATGTTTTAATTTAGATGGGTATCTCCCAAGGAAGCTTTTGGGGAAATGGCTAGTCCAGTGCAAAGGAGAGAACAGCAAACATTTTGGCAGCTTTTTTCTTATGGTCATATTGGTGTCATTTTCGTGCATTACAGTAACAGTGGGGGAAACCAGCAATGGGGGAAACATTTTTCTAGCAGCAACTACATCGAAAAGAGAACATGTTAACTATCTCTATCTCCTAATACTTGTATCTGTATTTGGAGGACCTGATTGGATCCCGTCCTGTTCTTGTCAAAGACACTTTTTTTTAAGGTGCTTCCAGGTTGAAAGAATTAGCCAGTGACGTCACTATTGTCTAGGGGATGCCCGTGGGGGGCTCCTTTCATATCCCTGTCAAGGAGCTGGAGCAAATGATGGAAGCTCACCTAGCCATGCAGCCACACTTGGGTCTCTAATGTGGGCTTGGTAACCTCCAACCCAGTGTCCTAACCACATGAGCTACCATGCTCTACCTGATTGGATTAAAACAACAGCTATTCACACACCTGAGGCCAGTCTCCAATGGCTCTCTGTTTGTCAATCAAAACTTGGATCCCCCTTTCTAGAACACGAACATCGGGATACCTGCAAAACAAATGGAACAATGGTCATTAGTCAGAGACTCAGTCAGAAAGTCCTGTTTGGTTTTCTAGAACGAGAATGATTTGTATTTTTTACTAAGATAAGTTAGTAAGATCAGGATGAAAGTTATTTGTAACTCTGTTCTCCACTATGTATTGGAGACCAGAGATTATACAGAATTTCTAATGTGAGGCCAGTAACATTCCAGCACAAGAGAAAATGTGAAGATTTCATGTATTTTTTCAGAAATTGGTGGGCAAAGTTAAAACATTCAAAAGAATTATTGCCTAGAGTCAATTTGTGTTAATATATTAGCTTTTCCTCCAGATCAGGGTTTCCTGAAAGAAACATTGTTAGGTCTTTACACTTACCTAACAGCCATCAGCCCCAACAGAGCCCATGCAGTTTGGTGGATCTGGGAAATGGTGTGTTGAATATATTTGCGAAACTTGTAGGATTCAAATTCTTCTCCCCAGCCACCATCTTTCATTTGCCTGGAAACCAGGAATGCACAGCCCTTGGTCACCTCATTGCATGCCGCTCTGGAAAATATGACACATAATGGATTAATATTTTTTTAAAAAAGTGAGAATAGTTGATAATTGTCTTGGGCAGGGGTTGGATTAGAAGACCTTCAAAGTCCCTTCCAATCCTATGATGCTATGATTCTGTGATTTGGTCTGTTCCATTATGGGACTGGGCTGCATCCAAGTGAATTTCAAGCCACACAACATTTAGGATATGGATGAAAACCAGCAGGGGAAACTACCAATGAAAGGTCTTTTTTTTTAATTTATACATAACGAGAAAGAAAGTGGCTGGAAATCAGAAATATATAACACTCAGAAATAGCTTTATCTTTTACATGATTATTTCCTATCTCACTGTTTCATACTTTCAAACTTTTACAACATTCTCTCCAAATTCGGAAACTAAATGAAAGAATGTAATTATAGAATAACATGCTTTTAAAGGTGCTATTTCTTAAACAGTTCTTCCTCACCATACCAAAGTATTATACTGTTGTGTTTTTTTTTGTTGGTTTATTTATTTTGTATTTGCTGTCTGGTACAGTTATCTATATTAAAAAAACCATATATTTATAAAACTTATAAAAAATATGAAATATGGGAAGGGCCATGAGCTATCCCGGTTATTTTAGGGAGTTAACACTGAGTTTGCAATAAAGCAGAATAAAGTTATATCGCCTGTCTCTGAAAACCATTCCAAAGTAAAAAATTGAAGAGCTGTCAATCAATGGTGAAAAAAGTAAGGTTCTACATTTAGGCAAGAAAAACCAAATGCACAGATATAGTATAGGTGGGTATGTCTAGTCTAATGAAGAGAAGGACGAGGGGGGACATGATAGCAGTGTTCCAATATCTCAGAAGCTGCCACAAAGAAGAGGGAGTCAAGCTATTTTCCAAAGCGCCTGAAGGCAGGACAAGAAGCAACGGATGGAAACTAATCAAGGAGAGAAGCAACCTAGAACTAAGGAGAAATTCCTGACAGTTAAAACAATTCATCAATGGAACAACCTGCCTCCAGAAGCTATGAATGCTCCAACATTGGAAATTTTTAAGAAGAGACTGGACAGCCATTTGTCTGAAATGGTATAGGGTCTCCTGCCTGAGCAGGGGGTTGGACTAGATGACCTCCAAGATCCCTTCCAACTTTATTATTGTTATAATCATTGACTCCAATATTTTGCCAGAAAAGCAACTTACTTACCCATTATGGTAGGAGTATCCTAAACACGCAAATGCTTCCAGTGCAAACCAGGTGCCATACGTGAAACATACACCCCATCTCCTGCAAGGAAGAGAGACCCATGAACCATTGAAAAACAAGTATTGAACTATATTAAGATCAATGTGTGATGGGTACAACTCCCTCTCTGGAAGCTTTCATACCTTTAAACCCACCAACTCCTACAAAGTTTTCATCCAAAATGGGCCCTGGTCCCCTGCTGCAACCCTCTCCACTTGATTCAAGTTGCAGAGCACTATAATTGAACATAATCCATTGTGTCTTAATGTAGGATATTTTTAAAGGGTTGTGTCACTTGTGCAAAGCGCTGGATAAATACAAACTAAATAAAATGCCTTCTGTTGAATCCTTTGTTCGCATGCGAATGATGAAGACACATGGTAACTGTTAACTACTCTTTATTCTCCTTCTCCAACAACCAAGCAAAATACAAAAGGCACGCAGGCCTTTTTATATGGCCAGAAACCCGGACAGTGTCAACCAATAGGAACAGAGCGTTTTCGCGCCTTGCGCATGCACACAAGGCTGGCGCCGCTCTGTCTGGTCCCGGGCAGCTTTTGGAATGCCTGGGACCAATGCAACGTCCCGAGCCTGCTTTTGCAGGCTCAGGACACAACACCTTCCTTTTGTGAAAGTAATCTTTTCAAGTTTTATCAGCATGGTCCAGCTAAATTCACTGAGCAGCAATGAGAAACAACTCACCCTACCCAGGATCCATCTGCTTTCTGTGTATTACGACAATATTGCAAAGCCTTATGGATAGTATCACTGAAGAGAAAGAAACAAAAGGGTTTTTATTAAGACAGAACTGAAAAACTTCGGGATGGAATTTTAATCAAGGTGGATCAACAGAAAGAGTGACATTCAGTGACCAAGACTTCAAAACCTGGATACCCAGGTTAAAGGGGGGGGAGGGGGGAATTTGACATTCATTTGTTAATTATTTAAATGAATAGTGACAGAATTTGTGTAGTGGTGATTTATATCATAGCAGGTCAAGCTACCCACCTTGAAGGCACAGGAACTTGAATACTGTCCATCTCTTTTTAAGGCACTAAAAGTATTGACTTTGAAGGATGTGGAGGATGAGAGAGCCGGAGTTTATATGAACTTTCAAGTCCTAAATGCTATTATATTTATCCTCTTTTGGAGCATAATCTCTAAAGCAAACTATTTATGAAACTTTATCCTGGGTTGCTCAGAGGGAGGATAGAGTAAAAGAAATAGAAAACCTTGTAAATGTATCTGAAACCCTAGAAAATAAACCTAGATAAAGCATGAGTATACCTGAAGATTGTACCAAAATGTATGGGCATTTGAAGATTACAAATGAACATAAAATAATTGGAAGGTTGTGAAATTTGCTATCTAAACTAGACAGAGCTCCAGGTATATTCCAGAGTCACCTTGCAAAGTAAACAGCAAATTAATTAATTAAGCAAACAAATAAATGAAAGAATAAATAACTATTATAAAGAGAGAAATTGCATTTTCAAACTATGCTCTTAAAGTAACAGTTCCCTCTTTTCTCTTGAACCTACTCCAAAATAAGTAATAGAATGGCACCTTTGATCTTTTCAATAATGGGATTTCACTTTCCTATGTTAAATCATTAGTGAACTATCCAATCTCTAAATCTCTTTTCTGATGGGGAAAGTATTTGTATCTTAAATATTTAGGGAGATTTCACAATTACTAACTTTTGGGGCACTCTTGGGCAGTATTAAAGTGTAATCTACTAGTCTTTGAAATGGCAAAAAGGTATAGCAGAACACAATGTTTTGCCCTCTTTCCTCATTCCTTTTTACCTCTGTAATAAGAGGTTCTATCTTTGCTATTTTAATGAGTGACAAGTTAAGGAAAGTGATTGATGGATTCCTTGTTTGTCTCACTGAGAAGCACCTGCCAGGAGGGAAAGCAATTCTCCTAATGTCTGTTGGTGAAGTGAAAGTGTAGGCAAGTATTTGGAACAGCCGTTTTAGTCATTTTTTAAGTTGCCTGGGTGTCAGTCAACCTATTGGCTAATACAGGTCTAGTGTTCTTTTCTGAAAGAATGCTATCAAAGTATTAAAAAATAGCTAGGCTGAGACATCAAAGCCTTCAGAACAGTTCCTGGGATAATTATGGGTTGTGAAAATGAACCTTAATAAAATTCACATTGAAATTTGCCGGTGATTGCAGAATGTGAGGGCAGAGAGTTGCAAGATTCACCTAAAAAGTAGTATGGATCAGATTTAGAATTACTAAATTCTAAACTTTACTAAATTACTAAACTCTAAGCAAAGTCTATTTCAATTTACAACAGCGATTTCTTTCTCGGCTTCAGGGAATCTTCTCTGTTTCAGCTACCTGATTTCCTCTCTCCGGTGATCTGGGAATCTCTTCTGGAAATATTTCAGTCCTTGCATTACTGATGAGGTACATTCAATATAGGTGTGATCTACCATACAGTCAGCTGGAAAACATAAACAATGTGGTTTTTTAAATATAGGCATCCTATCATTTTTATTAATGTCTCTAGGTTACAATAGTAACACTAATTAACTAAAAAAATATCTACTGAAAAACAGGAAATCTAGTGATGAAAAGAAGGACAGAACAATAATTATCTTTTCCTCTTAAAGCACCACAAGTCTGCAGGAAGATAGACCATAGATTTTATGTATTCATTTATTTTGCAAGGAGCTACCAAGTAATATGCCCATGTAAAGGTTCTATTTCAGAAAAGACTCCACTTTTCTAGTTCAAAATCATAATATTTATGCATGAGATTAATATTCAGAGAGATGGTGCCAGGTGCAATAAATCAGAAAACAAGGCTGTTCAAATAACTACAGATTTATTGTGGGTGCAAAGAAATTCAAGACTGATGATGCATTTAACTCTTCCGTCGGGTTCAGTCTGGTCATCTCCTACTAGTATGTTCTGAAACCTGAATCTATAAACTCTAGTCTAGTCACTATATTGTGATCTCACTATAATTTCTGGACCATCTTCAAGGCAAGATTCACATGTGTAAGTAGCTGTAGGAAGCTAGCAAACTCAAACAGAACACTCTGGCAGCAATGTTCCAGTATAACAATTAGACTGCCAATATAACAACTAGATACTGTGATTCCTCAGCTCGATTATATTAAATGACATGAACATTTAAGAGCATGCAGGTAGCCCTCATTTAGTAACCACAACTTGGACCAGCAACTCATTAAGCAAAGTGGTCACTGAGTGAAACCACAATTGAACTTATGATCTTATTTCAACATTCCTTGGCTTTGCACACCTGCAATGATCATAAATGTGAGAACTGGTTAATTTTTATCACAATTGCAATTGTAAATGGTTGCTGCATGTATCAATTATTAAATGATGATTGCCTGTAGCTGATTTTAAATGCTGTTCGAGTCTTTGGTTTAAAGAACCTTTTTGCTCAATGCTAAGAGATTTCCTTACATCATCTCATCTTTAAATCAGTTACTATTTTGGACTAGATCAGGGTCTCCCAACCTCCAGTCTGTGGACCAGTACCGGGTCACGGCACGCCAGCAACCAGTCCGCACAAACAAGTAAAACCCCATTCGTGGGATACAGGCAACACATAAAAGCACACATCCAACCTCTCTCCACGGAACCAGTCCCTGGTGCACAAAAGATTGGGGACCTCTGGACTAGATAGTCTATTTAGTTCTTCAGACACAGTTCCTTTTTGTTTTGTTTTGTTTTGGTTGGCTTGTGCCTGTTAGTACACTACTGAGTACTGACAATCTCTCAATCCAGAAGGAAACTAGCAGGATTTGCTGAATTCCTGAACATGTACCTATGCCCTCAAAACTAGCTACATTCCAGTGATGGTCTCCATTCTGAATTTTGCACATAACACCTGATAATTTCTTCTTACCATAGGTTTCTGCACAGTTTATGTTCTCTAGTAGCCAGCTTCCACGTCTGGTTTCATAAGAGGAAAATCCACCATCGGAATTTCTCATGTTCAGTAACTGCATATTTATAGAAATAGATTAGGGGAAAAACAGGTGACATTAGAAGTCATCTTATTAGACTCCTCCCACAAAAATTAGGCACAAATTCATGCTGATCCTATCAATAGACAGCTGATTTGAACAGAAAATACACAAGGATAATAGCAAGTTTTTGGCAGGTCCAGTTGTGTGTACTGTAAATCAGATACAATGGTGGATGTTATTCCATTGTCAATATCAGGGTATCATTAAAGTTTGTTTTTGAAAGAAGGCACCATCTTCTCCTTTATATTAAGCAACAAAATATTTTGGCCAATCTTTGTACATGTAGATGTCCTAAAGCTCAGTGTATGTAGACCGCCATTCTTTTTGTTTATACATTGCCTATTTTTCCATTCAATATTTGTAGTTGCATATGGATATTTGCTGTGGAGGAAAGCAGAAGGCAGACTAGCACATAATCATGTAGTTCTAAATATTAAATCATTTGGCCTTCCCTTTATTTAAAAAAAAATCCTTTCATTTTATTAAGACTGACACCCATTATTCCATGCCAATCAGTTTTACAAACACCTGAAAAAACAAAGCCAGTATTTATACTGAACCTCTTGTACCACTAAAGATCTATCTCAATTGAAATGAATGCTATGTCCAATAGAAAAATAAGCTATGATATTCAGAAAACAATTCACACAAATATTGCATTCATGGCTACCAAATTTTATTTTTCACAGCACTTCTAATCTTAATAGTATGCCACAAGCACCAATTTAGTTCTGCTTTCCCTGCTATTTTTCCTCTATTCTCTATATTATGTGTTCTTGACCATTATTTCAATTGCTTTGCTTCAGGCAGAAAAGAACAATATACCATAATATATCCTAATCATACCCTCATTTTATCTCAAAACCATGTCAGATAAATGAAGATAGCAGTAGATGTTGAATTTCTGTTCTCCTGAAATAGTATCAGATTAATTGTTCTCTTGTTATTTACTAATGCCAATGGAGTTCAGAACAGAATCTGCTTCATTTTTATAAAGCATTATTTAATCACTAGTTTATTAAAATTTATCTTCACTATATAAATTAGCATATTGAGGATATAAAGCAATTGAATGAGATCAGAATCAGACTAAACTATTATTGACTGTACTTTTTATCAATACATATTCAACTTGTCTTCTTCTGGGAGATTAGAACTTTTTCAGACTGACTGTAGCTTTGATCCTTTAACTTTGAGACAACTGAACCTGTTGGATTTGGTTCATTTTCTCAGTTTTCCAAACCTCTATGTTTATATTTTTACACACTTTTTCACCTCTATATCCGTTTTTGTGCATGCTCTTTCAAAAGGCTGCATTTTTTTCCCAAGCAATTTTCTCTATAGACTCTTTGAATGCACTTTTATATGAGGTACATTTTAAGGCTTCAAGCCTGCTTTGCAAAATTTAGCAAACATGGAAAAAGCATTTTACAAATTGTGTACAAATTTAGGAAAATGTGTGGGGATTGGAATTGGTTAAGAACCAAACTTTTTTTCCCCATCCCTTCTTGGACAAAAAAACTCCTCAGACTTTAAAGTTATTATCAAAAGAGAAAGTTGCCACCAATTCTACAAAAGCAACACACCCCTAAGCACCGCCAACCAGCCCTCAGAAACCTCATCAACCCTAATCCCCATGTTCTCTCCTTGGTGTTCTCTGGACTCACCATATTGACAGCATCAAAGAGACGCTGTGGAGCTATGTGATCGTCTATAAAAGGACATTGCTCTTCAAGTAACATCAATGCCTTCAGTGCTTCAGCAGTGCAGTCGCTGACGATCCAGTCATTGTCCCGATTGCTGAAGGGGAATCCTCCCTGGTGATTTTAAAAAAGGCATTAAGAAAACTGTTTCTTTTTAGATTGCTTGCTCCATAAAATATTTCATTAAATTTATTATCATTTAATAAAATCCAATTATTCTTAATTTAGGCATCAGGGATCATTATTTTAATGTTTCTGAACCTTTTAAATGCTATATGCTTTACTGTATAGTTGCTTCTTAAACTCTCTCCGAATGCAGCTTAAAGGAAACCAATGAAAGCAAGCAAAACATTGGGACATGGTTTTGCTTCTTCCTCAAGAATATTGATAAAGTTGATAAAAATCACCAAAGAAATTAATTTTTCCCTTTCCACTAGCATTAATAAAGAAAGGTTGTTAGGAAGAGCATTTCTGGACCATAAATAATATCTATTTAAGGGACAATGTGAAAAGTTACTAAGTGTCAAATATTTCTTTTTCTCTTTTGTATAACTTTTATTAGTTGGAAATTAGCTTCCAACATAACCGTTAGAAAGGAGCTGCCTTACATAAGATCAGATTTTGAAAGTACCTTGTTCATTTGACGATAGTATCTCTGGTAGTTGGGTGGATTATCTACAATCTAAAGAAGACATTAATAGCATTTTAATCCAAGACAATTTCTAAAGACAAGAAACATATTTTTTGTCCATACATCATTTTTGTTCATATGTCATCATGTACAAGTAAACAAGTGAAGCCTGTTTACTCAGTGCCAATCCCCAATCCTACCCACAGGTTAGTGATGCATATTGCCTTAAGGACTACTTTTTTCTGCATTCAAGTCAGCCTTGATTCTCATTGAGTCAAGTTCTTGTGGTTTCCTTGGCAACATTTTTGGAAATGGTTTGCCACTGACTTCTTCCTAATTTGAGACTGACTAGACCCAAGTCACCTATCTGGTTTCATGCCTAAGGCAGGACTAGAACTCATGGTCTCCTGGTTTCTAGCCTGGTGCCTTAACTATAATACCACACTGACTTTCTAAGAGTTGCATATATAGCATATATAAATTTGCTTTGGTGATGTTCAAGTTAAGGTTTCTGAATTGTAAGGAAAGGATCTCTGGGTATAGAAATGTGTAGTTTCAATCAAGGAGAAAATGTTATGGATGGCACAAATACTGTATTTCCAATAGTACAGTTTTAATGTACCTAACAAAACTGTAAATTATGATCAGAAGCTATCAAGATAACTCAAAGGAGCAATTGGCCATTCATAAACAGTTTTAAAACTGGATCTGAGATTAGCAGATGTCTTACCTCAAAACATATTATGTATGACATGCTGCAATTACTAGACCCTGCCCTTGTGGAATCAAATTGATGGCACTCCTTTAAAATCAATATTAATGTCTAACATACGTTATTCCAACCCAGCTTCTTACCTGAGAACATTTCAAAAATGAATGGGCTTTTTTCAGACAAGTATGGTACTCAGGGTCATTTTGGATACCAGCCTAGAAAATGAAAAAAAAAAAAAGATTATAAAATAGATAAATGTCAATAGATTTTAAAAAATTCCAGGCGTTAATAATGCTTAAATAAAAAAACACTTGGGGCACCTGAATAGTAAATGAATATGTTATTATTTAATTTTAAGATTAAATATTTGCAAAATTAAGAAAGCATGATACAGGATCTTTGGGATGGATAATGAGTTTGTAAATTTTTATTGATTAATGAAATTTACATAGAGTGATATATTCAGTGAAAATCGGTTTTAGAAATGTTTTAATGAGCTTATAACAATATAAATAGATAGAGAATGTTAGGTTATTTTTAATTATATAACTTGGATGAAATGTTATATTAGTGAATGAATTGGTTTTAGAAAGATATTGACTTGATTATAATGTTTTTAAATCAATGGAGAGTTCTTTAAGCTTAAGTTTAAAGGTGTGAAGAAATATAGGTTTTTATAGATTAAAATTTTTTTATTGATTAATGCAGTTGATGGTTAGACATAGTAATGAATAAATTCATCTGAAAATGTATTAATCTGATTATAATATTCTATATAGATAGAGAGGTAATTTTTAAAGAAATATTTACTATGTTATTGTTTGTTTTTTTAAAAAATTGATCACCATGTTTCCACTTGGGTTCTTAAGCTGTGTTGGTGTAAAATGAAAAACTAATAAAAATTGTTTTTTTAAAAATAAAAAAATAAAAAAATTCCAGGCCTCTTTTTAAAAAGCAAAACTTTATACAGCTACTTAATGAAATGCATGTTTTTCAATAATAAGAGAAGTGAGTAGCAATCATGAATGGAACTTTTCTTTATTAATGGTCTATTTACTGAAAATGATGCTCAGAAATATTTCTACATCAATAAGATTCCTGTTTGTTAGATATTATGTGAAAGTGGTATGACTATCATGAATTGGGCCAATTCAAGGGTAGCTTGCAAATATTTGCACTGTATGTATCTCCCAACCAGGTGCCTCCAGATATTGTTTAGACTGCAACCCTCACAAAATCAATCCACTTGATCAATGATCAAAAATCTGAAAGTCCCAAATAGATGGAAGCCATCGGAGTATCTCTTCCTGGGGTAAAATAACCTTCCATTAATGCAATCTGGTCTATCCTTTTGACATTGTCTCCTAAGACCAGAAACTTTCAAATATCCTGTTAGTCTCTTTAAACACTTCTAACTTTGAAGATGAGATTGAGATATATTATTACATATGTTAATGGCAGAAACTTTGAAAAGCTGTCTTTTTAAAATCATGTTAAGTCTTCCTAGCACCACAATTAAACAAGATTATAATACAAAAACATACCTCTAGAAAACCCAGAATTGTAAATGTAGCATCCCAGGTTTGAGATCCCATCACCTTAGGTAAGAAAAATAGACCTAGTTTTATTTTTTAAATTTTTTTTAAAGGCAAATTTCTCTTTTTATCCATTGACATCATCAAGCCCAACCAGTCTATTCAATGCAAGAATCCATATTAAAGCATCACTTACAAATTCTATCTTCTGATTAAATACGTCCAGTGAAGAGTAGCCCACCATCTTTCTTAAATAATTAATGTACAGTCCTGCAGAAAATGTTCATAGCACTCAGCCAAATCTGCCCCCTAGGAGCTCATGTTTTAAATTAGGGCATATGTCAAAATTTACAGTGCTTCCACATTAATACTGAGTCAGACATCAATGTTATTCCCCACCCCCTCAAAAAAGTGACTGCAGATGTTTGAATCAACATGAGTTTTGTTCCTCCATCTTATCTTCCTAGTTAGGAAATGATCATAACATTGCATGGACAGTGATAGTTTTCTAACAAAGGAGAGAATAAAGGGAATAGCCATTCTTGCAGACAGCCCAACAAGCAAACCTAGCAAATGGCAGATGGAAATTTCTCTTCCAGAATGATTTGGAAAAAACAGTAAATACTGCAAATAGAGGAGATCTATGCCTAGACAGCCACAGAGTTTTAACATACAGATAGTTCTTGACAACCACAATTGAATCCAACATTTCAGTTGCTAAACAAGACAGTTGTTAAGTCAGTTTTGTCTCATTTTACAACCTTTCTTGTCATCGTTGCTAAGTTAGTAACACGGTTGTTAAGTGAATCTAGCTTCCCCATTGACTTTGCTTGTCAGAAGGCCACGAAAGGTGATCACATGACCCCGGGACACTGCAGCCATCGGACATATGAACCAGTTGTCAAGCATTTGAATTTTGATCACGGGACCATGGGGATACTATAACAGTTGTGTGAAAAACGGTCATAAGTCACTTTTTTCAATGCTGTTGTCACTTCAGTCACTAAACAAACTATTATAAGTTGAGGATGACCTATACACAATTAACACACTAAATCAGAGGAAGCCTGTTGCAGCCACTTAGCCCATCTAGCCTGAATCTTTGTGTAGGCAGGCAGCAACTTTCTTAAGCCTTGTCCTGGATTCTCATATGGAAACTAGAATTCTGTTTTGCCAGTACTTGAGCCTAAACTGCGGACGAGCCCAGATCAGTGGGGAAGTGAGACTTTTTCTAAATGAAGCTTTTCCCAGCTCTCTTGAGTGCTTCTAACATCACCACAGTAATTCAGATAAATGCAAATGACAAAAGAAAAGGCATAAGGAAAACAAATGTACCACTAGCCACTCTCTTGATCACATAACTTCGGGGATGCTGCAATGGTTGTCAGTGTGAAAAACAGTCATAAGTCATTTTTTCAGAGCTGAATGGTTGCTAAATGAATGGTTGTTACATCGAGGATTACCTGTACTCCCGTATTTTGACCTCTCTCTTTCCCCTGTTCTGCTGCTCCAGGTATCTACTGCAGGGCCTCAGACTGTTTCTTCCTTCCATTATCAGTAATAACTGCTATTGTAAACAGTCACTCTTCTTGCTTTACATAGACTTAGGCTTCTTTCCCCTCTCCCTCTCCTGATTCACACAATCTAACTAAAGCCGATGACAACATTTTACATGTTTAATGGAGTAGACTAGTGTTCACGGAAGCCACAATAAAGAGTTAGTCCTTCAGAGGCCTCAAGGTTATTTATACTTCCACCTGAAGCAAATTTACCTTCTGATCCAAAATCGGGGATCAGGCTATATATTGGTTGAGTTCTTAACAATACCCTAAAATAATTGCCTTGTTTTAACTATACCATGCAAATAAACCATTATGGCTGGGCTTATAGAACATCCTAGACCACATACAAATGATATTATGGTTTAGATCACTTATTAACATGATCATGGTAAAAGAGGTGTATGGGGGATCATCAAACAATCTCTCTCTTTTTGTTTTGTTGTCAAAAAAACATTGACTCCAGCCTGCAAAGCAATAAAAGGGCATAGGCTTTAACAATAACCAACCTCCTTTCCACAATCTTACCTTCATCATTATACCCTCATCTCCAAGCCTGCATAGAGATATACAAAAACACAGATTACAACATGTGCAATTAAGAGTAAGGTGCTACTCTTAATTTCAGAGCATAGTCTGAGAGTATGATGGCATGCAAAATAGGAAACAGAAGATAATATCTTTCTAAAGTCTCTTTTCCTGAATGAAAATTCCCTGGAATTAAGAAGTAGACATTGGCAATTATGGTCTCTTGGGAAAAGGGAAAGCAGATCTCTGCAGAACCTAAAATCTGGGCAGCTTTCCCTAATCTTATGTCTCTGTGATAGATTACAAATCCTAGATTTCCCATCAACCAAGGCTGTTCATAATGGTAAATGGGGTTCTCAAGTGTTGCAGCTAGAGGGCATTAAATAGGGGGAGGGTGGATTAGACAGGACAGGACACTGTCCTTTAATTGTCATCAGATCTTCCATTGTTCTTATGATCCACAAACACCACTACTATATTTCACATGTGGTGAGGAAGGGTTTTGAAAGGATTTGGCATGAGCAATATTACCAAAGGTAATCGTAGATTCTGGAGACGTGCTCTTGAAAGGCTGCAGAATTGGGACCATCCACATGCCATGAGATCAATACATGGAAAGGTTTACAAATCTACAGAATGAAAAAGTTCCGTCAGGCATTTTGCAACCCCCTCAGTCCCAGAGCAACCTTTAGGACACCAGCCACACCCAGATGTTCCTTCAGAGAACAGAACAAGTAAGTTCCAAGCAAAGCTCTCTGTTTGAAAGGAAACTAAGCCAAGGACTAACATGTGGAGACCACTGGCTCCATCCAAAGGAAGTTTATTCCAGAAACAGTCATTTCTGTGTGGTATTTTCAAAAGACCTACCGGGCTAGAATTAGTAGAGTTTGAGAATATATCATCTGCCTTGATTAGCTCATAGATCTCAGCTGTGGCTTTCTTTCTGAGACTGGTGAGGTGGTATCTGTCGTACAAATTGAAGAGGGCTGCAAAAAGGAGCAAAGAAGCAGAGCCATTAGGTTTACAATTCTGAGTTCATGATATTGGTTCAGGCTAGGTTTGATTGACTGATGATTGTGTGCCATCAAGTTTTGTCAACTCACCATCTGGGGCAATTGGCATTTACAAAGAGCACTAAGAATCCTACTGCAGCTGGTCTGTTTCTAACGAATCAAAGAAGTTTCAACTAGAAACACAAGCCCTTAGAAGTTGCTCCATTTACCAAAAAGAACATCCAAGACCAATGTATGTGGGGCCTGTAAATCAGCCTCAGAAATATATTTCTTCTGGGCTGGCCAATCAATGCTTGAATAATCCTCCACGTAAAGTTCCTAAAATAAAAGAATAAAAAGACATAAGTTCTTTAGTAAATAGGACACGAGACTGGTCCACTTGCTAAAAGATCTTTAACATGTGTGCGACTGTGTTCTACATACACACACACACACACACACACACACACACACACATGCACACACAAACACACACAATCAATGATAACCCTTCAAAAATGCTTAAGTGTGATTGAAACAACCTCGGGCTTTCCCCTACCAATTCTGATTCTCCAGCCCTGTAATTATTAATGTAATGTTTTAATGCAGTGGTTCTCAACCTTTTTAATGCCGCGAGCCCCAACCTGTCGTAAGTTGAGGACTACTCAACCGGTCGTAAGTCGAGGACTACTCAACTGGTGCAGCAACGTTTACAGAATGGGACTTTTGGCGGGCTCAGCAGGGCAGAGACAGCCTGGACAATTCCTATTGGCTTTTGAAAGCTAATAGAATTAGACTCTATTCAAGAGAGTCTATTCTATTGGCTTTCAAAAGCCAATAGAATAAAAGGGAGTAGTACAGCTAAGGAAAGGGGGGAAAAAATGGCGGACTGCGTTGTTTGGCGACCCCCGTGAAATGATTGTTCGACCCCAAATGGGGTCCCGACTCACAGGTTGATAACCACTGTTTTAATGTATCCTGTAATTATTACTTTGTTGTTCTACATCAGGCATGTCAAACTGCCGGCCCGCGGGCCAGATTCGACATGCCGAAACTGCACCCACCCCATTGCCAGCAATGGGGAAAAAATCCCGATAGGTCGCGAGTTTGACACGCCTGCTCTACATGCACACTGAGAACTTAAGCACCAGAGACGAATTCCTTGTGTGTCTAATCACACTTAGTCAAATAAAGTATTCTATTTTGTCCTGTCCTGTCCTGTCCTATCTCTAAAAAAATAATGACATTTGAATGCATAGTCATTTGGATGTGTTTGTTTCCACATATCAGATCCACTGAGGACCCAACTATTAGAACTACAATATCAAAACTACAATAGCTTTCGCTAAGAGGACGAAGGTTCATTCTCCGAACTTGTGGGTTGGTTTCCAAACGTTTCAATACTAGGCTAGATAACATCTTCAGCAGCGTTTAGGGGATGTCTGTGTGTCAGTGCTCTTCTGTTTATCAGCGTTTCAGGTGTGGGTATGTAAAGTGAGGGTCTTGTGATGGGTCAGGTGTGAGTCATTAGAAAGAGGTTTGTGATGGGCCTTGTGATGGGGAGGTTATTTCAAGTCAGGGTCACTCACACCTGACCCATCACAAGACCCTCACTTGAAACACCCACATCTAAAGCCCTTATAAGCAGAAGACCATGGACAGAGACATGCCGTAAACGCCACTGAAGATGTTACCTGCTAACGAAACGTTGGGAAACCAACCCACAAGCTCAGAGAATGAACTTCCACCCTCATCCTACAACTGAGCTACAGATATTTGCCATTATTGCAAGCTTTTGCTAAGGCCTAGGACAGGGGTAGGCAACCTTGACTCTTTTATGACTCGTGGACTTCAACTCCCAGAATTCCTGAGCCAACCATGCTGGCTCAGGAATTCTGGGAGTTGAAGTCCACGAGTCATAAAAGAGCCAAGATTGCCTACCCCTGGCCTAGGGTAACATTTGTATTAATGATCTGTTCTTTCTTTCACATGACAGTCCATGGAGGAAAGAATCAAGCATTTTTACCGCAAAAGGAAATAGCAGAGCAGCGACAAACTGGAAATGATGAGATTAACCAGATTATGTTTTCCTGCATGAAGCAGGTTATGATTTGTGAAAGCTCCAGTTTTAAAATGCCGTAAAACTGAAAAAAGAGATTTATTGGAATGTGCAAGAGGCAAAGAGAAATCTAAAGTTGTGGAGATTAGTGTCCTTTATAGGTTTACACAAATTAGAATATGCATTTAATTTGCAAGCTTCCAGAAACTGACATTCCAGCCCACTGAATTCAATTCTGCAGTTATTATACTGTTGCATAAAGCTATTTTCATATCCCTATAACCTGTTTGTAGACCTGAATGGTTATTGCTTCATTGCAAGCAATGAAGTCGAACAAGTCTTTAAGTGCGGTTGTATTCAAGTAACAAAATAAAACTTTTTGTCCCAGAAAGTAAGTGCTGCTTTTATTGGGATGGATGGAGACAACATCTCTTAGCTCCCCCTGCTGGTTGAAAGGTTATTTTTAGTTGAAGGGATTTTTTTTTTATAGGAATTCGGTAAGAAATTGACAAGGACGCATTGGCTGTGAATTTACTGTGGTAACAGCTTTCTTGGACTAGCAAATGTGGGGAAAACAAACAAACAGAAATAATCCATAAAGCAACATCTACCTAAGTTAATTATATCTAGCTAGCTCTGGAGGTTAAGAAAGCTCTCTCAAATTATGAGGTATGGGAAATATTTGCTTTTCTGGAAGTATAAAAGAGGAAAAGGAATCAAGATGCAATTCAAATTATATGTTTCATTTGTTGAAGAAACCAAGAGTTTCCTAGGACCACACAATATAGTGTCTTCACCGAAATCAAGTAGGCACGCAAAGAAGCAACCTTTGAAAAATCTTCTCACATCAAAAGACCTATTCTTGGAAATGCTAGCACACTGTGGAATAATATTTCCAATTTGCTTTTTCATGCCTTAGGAGTCTTCCATATAAAAATCTTCTTGCATTTGCTTAAACCAAAAGTCAGTATACTCTCATTAGGCCACCGATTATGCGGTATCTTAAGTAATGTTATGTCCTGTTTGGATACGGAGTAAGTGAGAGAATATGTGAATATTGTTCTTTTTTTACCTGCCTGAGACTCCTGATCAGTTCATCTTCTTCTGCACTCAGGCGGCTGAGCTGGCAGTAGGTCGTCGCAAGCAAGATATGACGGGCATGGCACCAATAAGTGGAGGGATGGCCTGGCACCCAGGTAGGTAACAGCCTGCCTCAGAATGAGGGAAGCAAGAGGATCATAAAGAGATAGGCAGAAATCTTAAACATAGTAGGTAAAACTGTTGCCTGGTTTGCATATCTCAGAACATTTGATTTCTCCTTGTAAGTCACTATAAAGATGTTCCAACAATTTTGAAAAACATTAAACTAAGGTGACCAACTTTTTTACAATGAAAAGGAGGACACAAATAAATTGAAGAAAAAAATATCATAAATAAAAGAAACATTTTATTCATTGCAACAATAATATAGACAACTTGCATGTGCAAAGTTTGCCAACCGGATGTTTCGGCGCGCTCAGCAGCAATTCCTATTGGCTTTCCAAAGCCAATAGCGGAAGTAGCACAGCTCAAGCAAAAGTTGAAAAAAACCCATCAAAAAAAGGTGCCGGAGACCGTTCTGAGCATTCTATGAGGGGAAAAAAGCTCTGCAGATTAGTATTCAAATATCGAAAAGGAGGACATGTAGGAGGACACTTTTCGAGGGAGGACAGAACCTACAAAAGGAGGACTCTCCCCCCTAAAGGAGGACGGTTGGTCACCTTAATTAAACAAGAGCAGTCTCTAAAACTAATTTGAAGGTTGGGCTTCATTCATCTATGGATATTGAGGCCTTTGCAGGCCTTCAACTTTGCTGAAGATGGAATCAGTAGGTTTAGAATTGTGTTGAATTCAGACCCTGATTCCCCCATCCATACAGTATTCTCGACAGAAGTATAGAATTCTTAGACAATATTTGTCTGAAATGGTATAAGTTTTCCTGTCTGGGCAGGCGGTTGGATTAGAAGACCTTCAAGGTCCCTTCCAACTCTGCTATTCTATTCTATTCTATTCTATTCTATTCTATTCTATTCTATTCTATTCTATTCTATTCTATTCTATTCTATTCTATTATTTTTTTAGCACGTATGCCTTAAACTATCCAAGTGAAATCTTGTTTAGCTTCTGATAGAAACTAAAGTCAGCTAGGTATTGCAGCCGCTGAGATGACAGATAATAAAAGTAGCCTAATAAGTTTCAGTCTCTTTCAGCAAGACCATCATAGCATATCAACTCTACAAATGGAAGATCCTGTGAAATATTCATATGTACAATGCAATACAATTTGAATTTAAAGATGACTAAATATTCATGTTATTAAAATCAAATCCCATTTCCATCCAATGGCTGAATTGACTTTTCTATTAATTCATTCGACTTCAGTTCTGGATAACTCCCTGAATTACTCATCTGTTAGTTTATAGTAATCTTTTGTAAAATAGTTCAAAATTGGGCATTTTACTTATCACTTCTCAATCTTATTGGCTAGCATTAGAGGACTATTTGCTGACACTAGGTGCCAGAACTCTGTTCTGGGCGTTCTATGAGAAAAAAAGCACTGGCTGTAAGTATGCTAAGTTCTTCTAAATGTATGCTAAGTTCTTCTAAATTTCTAAGTTCTTCTAAATTTCTAGTCTACTGCAGTTTGACTTCTGAATTTATTTATTTATTTATTCATTCATTCATTCATTTACATTTAATATTTCTGAACTGTTCTGAAATAAATTTATTTATTCATTCATTCATTCATTTATATTTAATATTTCTGAACTGTCCAATATTTTTGCATGCCCCTCAAAGAGGCGTGCAAAAAAGTTAACATTTATAAATTGAAAAACTTGTAAACATATCCCAGGATAATCAAAACTGAGTTAGAAGCCAATATAGCTGCAAATATAATTCAAATATCTGCATCTGCAATTTGGGAAAGATTGCAGCTGTGTAGAAAATAGGTCCGTGACTGTCCAGATAACAGTATTCCCATTGCTTTCAGGCAATTCCACTATAAAATCCATGGCTATTTCCCTCCAGGGGGCTGAGGGACTTGCCACTGGTTGTAACAGCCCTGGCGATTTCCCTTGCAACCTCTTTGCTGATGCACAGGTTGGGCAGCTGGCAACATAACTTTCTATGTCCTTTTTTATTGATGGCCACCAAAATTGCCGTTTAATTAAGTGTAAAGTTTTTACAAATCCAAAATGCCCTGCTGATTTTGTGTCATGGCAAAGTTGCATGAAAGTTAGTCTTTGAGTTGTTGGTATATATAACTTTTCCCCTACCCAAGGCAATCCGTCTCTCATTGTGCACACATGTTTGTTTTTCTGGAACCAATCATCTGTTTCCAAACTTTTTCTGAATTCAATCCCAGTTTGGCTGTCCAGTTGTGGTTTTATTTTGGCTTGGGTTCTTGTGGTTACTGGCGCTGCCAGTTGTGATTCTGCCATTATTGGTCTAGAGTCTGTGGTTCGTGCGCTGTTATATTGGGGCATGCGAGATAGTGCATCTGCCAGGAAGTTCTTTCTTCCTGGTAAATGTTTGAGCTTAAATTGGAATTGGTGAAAATGCTGGGACCAGCGGGCTTGTTTGGGATTGAGTTTCCTGGAAGTTTTCAGGGCTTCCCAGTCTGGAAGGGGATTTTGTTGCCTTCCAGGAACTGTCGCCACCCAACGTATCCCATAAGCCTCCTTCTCCCATACGGGCCAGCGCTGTTCTGTTTCCGTGAGTTTCTTAGATGTATATGCACAGGGTTGCAATACTGCATCATCATTTTCTTGTAATAGCACAGCCCCCACTGCCACATCACTTGCATCTGCCTGTATTATGAAGGGCTTGTCCATATCTGGGTGCCTTAGTACTGGTTCGGCAGAAAAAAGTCTCTTTAGTCTCTCAAACGCTGCTTGGCACTCCATTGTCCATGTTAGTGGCTGGCTAGGTTTTACTGAGGATGTTCCCTTCGTTTTTAGTAAGTTGGTGAGGGGCAAGGCTATCTGTGCAAATGAGGGGATGAATTGGCGGTAAAAATTTGCAAAGCCCAGGAAACTTTGCTTTCTTGTGCGGGGTGGTGCCCAGCTCTGACCTTCTCTGGGTCCATTTCAATGCCCTGTGGGGATATGCGATAGCCTAGGTAGTCTATCCTTTCCTGGTGGAATTCGCATTTTGAGAGTTTGGCATATAGAGCTTCTTTACCGCTCTGACAAGTTTGACGTGTTCTTCTTTTGTTTCACGTCCAAGTAAACAAGGACCCCCTTAAACAGGTGCTCCCTTAGAACGTCATTGATTAATTGCATAAAGACTGCAGGGCCCCCTTGTAATCCAAATGGCAAGACTTTGAATTGATAGCACCCCATGGGGCAGTTAAATGCAGTCTGATAGTAAGCTGCTAGTTTAGAAAAAATTTTCCCTTTCGATAGGTGTGACAGCATGTCTTTCATGAGGGGCAGCGGGTATAGGTTGCTTTCACTGATTGTTTCAGGGCCCTATAATCCACGCATAAACGTAAAGAGCCATCCTTCTTCTCTCTAAAAAGGACCGGGGCAGCCACTTTAAATGAAACCTCTCTCCAGGTTTTTTTTATAAATCTTTCCAGGGCTCATGGAGTATAATCTAGTTTTGCCCCAGGCTTGAATTCAATGGTACAGTCTGTGGGTCGGTACTCATTTCTCCTCACTGAAGACTTCAGCAAGGTGGTATTTCACCCTCTCCTATGGATGCTTTTTCTATTCTTGATTCTGGTAAAGTCCATAGGGTCAGATTTCTGTCGTCCTCCAATTTACTTTATGCATTCCATCCCTAGAATCATTGGGCATTCCATAGGGGTCAGTTAAGGGTTGCCCATGTATTGGCATGGCTAGGGTAGCTTATGGATCCATCTAGCTGGCCAAATGAGATTGGTTGTTCCAGTCTCCTGGATGGGATGCCCAGATTCCCCACTAGCTAATGAGGCAGCGGGTGCAGCCAGAGTCTATTAAGGCTTTCACCTTCACAGCTTCGGGCATGGGGGGGATTAATATAGTCACTGTTTTGAAGATGGGTGTGATGCGTCCACTTACCAGGGGTTCGCCTTCCGAAGAGGCATCCACCGTCCCTGTGGTGTAGGCTGGAGTTCTTTCCCCTTGGTGAGCAGAGGTGGGGTTTTCTGCAATTTCCATCATTTTCATGGCTGTTTCTTTTGGCTTAGCTGAATACCCTCTGGGTTTGTTGATTGGGGATCTGTCTGGGTTGTGCTGGGGGGCCTTTGAGCGGCATTCTACAGCTCGATGCCCTTCTCTTCCGCACTTGAAACACCCCATGCTTCTTGGCTGTATCCGATGATTTCACCGGTTGGTGTGTCAGCTCAGAAGCCTCTTCAATACGATCTCTGCTTCCTCTGCCAAGACGTACCATTCCTCAAGTCGATGTGGGTCTCCTCGGGGCAGGCAAGCATCATATAGATCATAGTTTAGTCCGTCTTTGAAACGGCCAAGGAGGATGTCTTCTGGCCATGTTTGCTGGCAGGCTCGGAATTCTTGTGTATACTCAGCCACTGGGCGTTTGCCCTGCCTCATCGTTGTTATTCTTTCACGGGCTTTGCGATCAGCCAGGGGGTCTTCAAATCGTCTTCTCAGGACATGAAACGGTTGAAGTTACTGAGTTCTGGGGCATTGGAGTCATGCATTCAGCAGCTGGTCCATCCACAGATTGCACGATCCGGATGCGGGCTTTAAATTCCTCCATGTAGCTGAGGACTTGGGTTAGGAAAAACCCCAAGCGTGTAATGGTGGACGTAATGGATCGGTGCCTCCATTGTGGGTGGTAGTGTCTTCCGTCCAGATTTCCAAGGGGGTGGGAGCTCCTGGATCTTGTCCCTGGGGTTGCAGGTTCCACGTCCCCCTCGGTGTCAAACTGGGGCGGGCGTAGGGCTCAGGAATCTCCTCTCCTAGGGAGCTCTCTTCATCAGGTCAATAGAGGATCCAGTCTGGAACAGCTTCCTCCCTCTTCACTTGCGTGCAGGGATTTCTCCATCTCCTGCTTCCATTCAGGGTCACTTTTCTTGATTCCTTTCCCCACTCGCTTTTCTTTCCAACGCCCATCGGCGAGGCTTGTGGTCCTGTGTCTCCACCACTTCTTCTTCTGATCTGGCCTCTCGGATCCCAACATCTGGCAAGGTTCCAACTGGGTCAGCGGCTCTGGGATTTTCTCCCTCTCTTGCTTCGTTGTCTGACATGGTAAATTTTTGCAAAATCCCCCGGCAAGGGTCTACCTTCCAGGTGGATTAATTTTGCAAGTCCTGTCTAATGTAAGGACCCACCCCACTTTGCAGAAGACAGAACTCTCTTCCAACAGGAATCCTTTATTAAGAGAAAATGGTTGCAGGCATGCTAGATTGGGGTTCAAGCTCTCCCATTCAAGGTTTTAAGGGGTTCCCCAGTAGTCCCACCCAATCAACCCCCCTTCCAGTGATAGTTTCAAGTATCACAATTCCATCCCCTTTCTTCTTCCGTCTGGATGGATTCAGATAACTACATGAAAGGCAATTACTCTTCTTTGATATGTTAAAGCTTAGAGGCCACAATAAACACACATTCAGTCCTTTGAAGTGTGCTGAAGGAAGTGAGGGCCATAAAGCCCCTTTGCTCTCCCCCTTTTCTCCCTCTTATGGCAGAATCCAGAGAAGGCAGAATTGGGAGTTTCTATGTTTGATAATTAAAGATGAAATATAATTGGATTCTGACACAGGGTTTTTCAGATTAGATAGTATAATACTGCATTGGTTAATTTTATTCAGTGGCTCCTTGAAAGCAAAAGAAAATGCAACACAACTTTAGAGTGCCTACCACAATTCAGGAAACGGTGCATTCATTCCCTCCCAGCTGTACACGTTCATAATAGCCAGCCAGACTTTTCCCAAATGTGGGGCTCCAAGAGCACCACCTGAAAAGAGAGTTGTCAGTGGAGGTGAGAGGGAAGCAGCACCCACTCTAAGTAGAAGCAACACAAGAACCACAAATCTTCACAAACCTACAGATCTATATAATGCTGGTATATTCCTTGATTTGCTTTGATAATTGTGCAGCTGGTTACTATCCTATGAATAATAAACCTTGATTTAGATTTTGATTATTAGACTAGTTTTGTACATTTAAAGACAATGCACCCTCTTTTAGACACTTAAAGACAGTTACTCTTTATGCTAGAGGAAAGAGAAGGATTAATAAGCTTATAATGACCAGCAGATTTAGCATTTAACTGGCCATGTCTCTACACCCAAGAAAATTATCTTTAGAAAAGTTGCTCAACTCCATGACCTGATTGGCCTGAAGCAAACTCAGTTACTCAGTGACTAACACATTGCCATGAGATAAAGGGGAAGCAAACATCTCAGGCTTCAGTCAGAATATAGGAACAGCAATCATGTTTAAAACTGCCGTTATGATAAAAAGTAAAAATGCTTACATGTTCAAAGGCATAAAAGTCACATAGACGGGAAGACTTTGACAACATGTGGGGAGGAATATTTCTGGATATCTCTGACTTGATTCTCACCTTTTTTATGGAGACAAATTCGAGCTCTCACTATATCTGGATGATCAGGTCCATATCCAAGGATTCGCATAGCTATATAGTTGAGGGCTGTGCCAAAGATGGTTGGTTGTTGCTCCCTGAGATGGCTACCACATAGAGATTTAGAAAAAAAAATATTAAAAAAAGATAAATGTCCTGGATAGCTAAGTCTCCTATCCACAAGCCAATTTACAAATTATCTTCTTTGGTCACTTCTTATCATTCTGAGAGTACCTGCTAGTATTATTTGATTAATGAACTACAATACTCTCTCTAGAATATGGATGGAATTGGAAATAAAACTTTAGAATTCAAGATGCTTTTAAAACTTTAACTGCTGTTTTATTTGACAGTGTAAAATAAAGTTTTACCGCATAAATCTCTAGTATGAAAACCACAAGGTCTCTCTCAGAATGTCTAAATAGCTAATAAATATTTAATTTTTTATGAAAATAATACAGCATGCAAGTTTGGAAAATGCTGGTCTATTTGGAAACATTTTAAAACTTTAAAGCCTTTTAGAGTATGTAGGTCACCACTGAAGCAACCTGTAAGTATAAGAAAAACAAAGAACTAAAATGGAAACTTGTAGGTGCTGAGATAAGTATGTCAGTAAGTAAGCAGAAAGGGGTATAGAAATGTGTGAGCTATTATTCCACAGCTAATGTTGTATTTAGGTTAATCTACCATTATCTTGATCTGGATTTTTAAAAACAAAACAAAATGAAATAATTCAAGAACTAACATGGAAAATTGTAGGTGCTGATGTAAGAAAGTAAGTACTTTGCATTGTATTGTAGGTGCTGCTGTAAGCAGTGCTTTTTTTCTAAAAAAAAAAAAAAAAAAAAAAGGTGCCGGAACTCACACACGTCATACAACCTGCCTTGCCTACCCTACAAGGTTCCAACCAAAAAAGGTGCCAGAACTCCATTCTGGGCGTTCTATGAGAAAAAAAGCCCTGGCTGTAAGTATAAGCAAGGGAGCAGAAAAGGGTATAGAAAGTTGTCAGCTAACCTTCTGCCATTATTTGGAATTTATCAGAAATTATCTTTAAAAAAATAAAAAAAATCAATCTTTCACTTCACTCACAGACCCCAGCCGCCATCTGGAAGTTGTCTTGAACGTATATATCGCCCTATTTCTTTCTTTACCTCTTCTGGGAGGGAAATCTTAGCAACATAGCATGCAATCAAAAGACCTGTTTGATGAAAAAGACTATTGAGTAACATCTGAGTTTGGATTATTTTTTTTTTTGTGCACCAAAAGTCACCTTGTTTGATAATCTAAGGGTAAATTTGTATGTTTGTTTCCCTTCTTAAAAGACCATTAAAAAAAAGAAATCAATATACCAAGACTGTATTTATCAAGATCAAGCAAAGAATCTCTGCGCTTTCTTAGTAGTAATTTCTCTGATATTTCTGGAATCTATGACTTTTAAATAAACACACAAAAGTCTAAAGATAAATAACCATTATTTCAGGAAGAAAAAAAACAGACTGCCTATCTAATTCTTCCTTAAATGTCTGGCAACCTGCCAGAGACTGGAAGGAAGAATATTTTCTGCTTCTCAGAAGCTATCAACAACCTCTTATTCTGGAATATCCTTTCCCTCTTCCCTTCATATATGAAAGAATCCAAATTCAAGATCCCAGTTCAACCTTTGGAATCTCCAGAATGAGTAAAATGAGAAAGGCTGAAAACCTTACGACAGCCTTTCTCAACAGGTAATCTCCAGGTGGGGATTGTAACTCTGTGCATAGACAGAAAATAATGTTATGCTGGGTGGAAATTATGGGGATGAATTCCAACACATCTGGAGAGTACCAAATTGGGAAAGAGGGTCAACACCAGGAGTCGTGGCCTATTTGGCCATATAAAGCTGAGGAGATTTTTCCCATTTTTCCAGTTCTTTGTGCCTATTTCACAGGTGAGAAGAGAGCTTAATTCACAGCACAGACATAATTTTAACTGGTTGATTTACACAGAGTGAATTTACTAGTGACCACCATACCTGGAGTAAGGGTGAGTACTCCAGAGCATTCTGCAGGCCAATGGCCATCTTCAGCTTGTACACCTGAAAAAAACTTAATTGCTTTCAGCACTGCTTCCTGGGCTGTGCTGGCTTTGGGCAACTCTGGGAAAAATTTACTCTGTAAATTGAAATAATGGAGATAAGATAAATATATTCCTGTAGGGTCACATTTTTCAATATATTCACTATATTTCTTTTGAGGACATTTTATCTAAGTTAACAGAGAAGGCAATGAGGTCAGGAAACTTGGTAATGAGGAAGAGAAAATTACCCTTTCCATTCTGGTTACATTCCCATTCAAAAACATTGGAGAAAAGTTTTTTACTCATTTTTCGGTTTAAAATTCTTTAGGGAAAATTTCTACAGCTAGATGGAAAATATTTACAGTGTCAGCAACACCAATACAGCCTCAAGTTGAAAGGAGTCTTCATGATCTAGCTTTTTTAAAAGTACGTCACTTCAGATGCAAACATTCTTTTAACCTCATCTATATCTATAAACATTAGACAGACTGACAGACAGACAGATAATATGAATTTACAACATAAAGGCAACATAAAATATTACTACTATTAATAATATAGTATGTCCCTAAGAATCGCTTTTCAAATTATGATTTATGGATCTGATTTGTGAATCTAATGAATCACACAATTATTTAGAAATTCAGTTGCTAGTTAAGAAACCTTCTGTCAGCAGATTATCTGCATGAACGACATATTTTATACCCATCAAAATGATTCCAGGCACGCATTGCTCATGAGTCACAGAAATGACTAGGGTTATCAGGAATGTTGCACCAGTAATAATTCTAGTTCATGTACAAGAATGTACAGATATTGGCGGGGTAGATACACAAGACCGTGTTCCAAGGGCCAGAAACCCCTTTCTCACCATAAGGAACCCTAAACTACATGTCAGAATGGAAACCACAAGGGGGGGAAAGACTATCAGTACTTGCTAAATTGCAGCAGAGACACCCTGCATTGGTAGCATTCGTGCTTTTCTCTGCCACTGTGGACCTTATTTCTGTACTTGCAATGATCATCAACTACTTACAGTGTTTAGCCCTAAACTATATGCCTCAAGTGCATTCTGTTCTCTGGCACATTCCTCATTTTCGGGCACATAATACCACTTCTGTCGCCCTTCCACTGTGCTCAGTCGCCAGCGAGTCAGGTCTGTCTCTGGTTCAATTTTATTTTCACATTCTCCTTTGTACAGTGGTCTGCCAGAAAGCCTGCTAGGACAGGAGAAGGTTTAAACAGTCACACCCTATCATCATGTTATTATTCAGATTCTAAACTTACTTAAGACAGCAAGATGCAAAATATATTAAACAGTAGAGCAAGTAAGGTGAAAAGCTTTTTGGGTGAAGAGGGTTAGGGAAACCTGGCTTCCAGGTTTAAATATTTCTAAAACTATATTTTATATATTTAATTAATTTACTTTAATTTATAGATTTATCAACCATCGTAATATTACAAAAGCTATCATAATTATCAATATAATAAAACTGTTCAATGATATGTACAGGATTATGCATAGTGGTGCAGTGGTTAGAATGAAGTATTACAGGCTAATACTGCCCATAGCCAGGACCCAGATTGAAGGGGGCAACAAGCTGATGCTGTAAATCATTTAGAGAGGGTTGTAAAGCACTATGGAGCTGTATATAAGTATAAGTGCTATTGCTATAGTTATTGCTATTTAGTATAAACATGTAAGAACAAAATGCATTACAATTAATATTGTATAATATTTATTTGTATTTAAATAATTAAAAAAATTATTTAATATGTACTATATCCAGCTCATTGGTTCTTTAAATATTCATAGCAAACTATCAAGAATAGTGTACAATTACATAACTACAGATATCTGATTTTCATGTTATGCTAAACCACTATTTGTTTAACTGTAATTTCATGACTAATCCACTATGTAACTTAGTTAATGTTATAAACAAAAGCAAAACAAAAGCAAACTAATCCCATCCAGGCTTAGGATGATATGTGAAGCCATTCACATAGCCCTCATTAGCACACGTATAAGAATTGGGATTTTAAGCACAATGTTTATATAGCCATTCATTTCCTAAAGAATTGCAAAGAATTGCCATCCATTCTTCCCAACTGTTACAATCTTCGACATCGAGAAATTGCTTCCTTTGCACTATTCCTCCTTTTTGAGAATACATTTATTCATTAGGGTTGATAGTTTTCAAAATACATTCTTTGATTAAGCTTGTTTAGTTCACCCTCTTGTATAACACTTAGGATCTTTTACATTTTAGCCACTCCGGAAACACCTGTGTTCTTCTAGTCATCATAAGCAGAGAAATTGCACTTACATGTTATCTGACATCTCTCTTGCTCGATGTCTGAAATCACCTGTTTTGAATGATCCAAAGATGTTTCTTTGCAGTGGTCAGGGTTGTCAAGCAAGGTGCTGGTGATTTCTAAAAGCTAAAGTTGAGATGATGTTTCTGAACCATCATACCTGCAGAGAAATATGGTGCACAAATGCTGGAATAAACCTGATATCCTTGGTATGCAGGAAGAGGGCGTTTAATGACAAATGTAAGGAACCAGTACAACACGATTTATGCAGAGCAGTCCCTTTACTGTTGTTTACCCATAGAAAGAATCTTGCCAGACTAAAGCACAATCTCCATAATTGTCAGATATACCCAGTGAACAGTTAGGGAGGATCTATTCTGGAGGTCTTCCTGCATACCACGGATTCCAGACTAATTTGCCTCTTAGCTCCTCCTGGAAGACTCTCCTCCCTCCAGCAACACTGCACCAGATTCCACTACAACAACCCCTAAAATAGTTAAGTTCTTTTCTATCAAAAAGAATTAACGTTCACTTGAGCAGATCTGTGGTACCAGACCAGTCACAACAAGAGCACCAATCAGGCTCGGTTAAGGGTAGGCTAGAATTAGGAATGGGTGGAGTTGCAGTTGTGCGCTATCATACTGTACAAGGAAACTGTAAACTTGCTTCTTTCACAGGGATTATCTTTTTCTGGAATCCACCATGAATTTCCTCCTCTGATCAACCTGAACATGTTTTTATTGTGGTGGTCTCCCATGGAGAATGAGACACGCACGCAGGTATCTCGGGATGGGAGCCCAGAGCTGACTCCAACACCCTATTTTATTGTTACTATAGTTTTTACATCACACAGCGTAATCAAAAGGCGTATTTAGGGGTGGTTACAATGTATCACATAACAGACGCTCTCCAGATGCAAGGCTATGCAGGTGGGTGATGATTCATGCATCCTGTTTCCCGTGTTCTTATCAGAGCCTGTCCAAATGGCTGATGAATGTGTTCCGTGTCTGGAGCAGTCCCTTTTGGTATGTCAAGGACTTTGTGGGAGCATGTCTATAGGCATATTTATGCAATTAATCCCACAATTTATCTGTCATTCCACCAAAATTTACATTGTAGGAAGTGTCCAAGGTCAAAAAAAAAACACAACCCCAACCTGATAAAACCAGCCCAGCAGCACATGCTAATAACAGGTTATGTGGCCCTGTTTGACCTGTGCAGATCAGCTTTCCAGGAAATGCAAAAAGACAAGCAAAATTGCCCAAGAACCGGGTTCCTCTTAATTGCACAAATTATTTAATTATTTAGTGTTTCTCCCCTATCTCCTACCCAAAAGCCTGCTTACACACTGAAAAATATGCAGCGTAGAAAAAAAGGGGGGTCACAATGGGAAAAGGAAAACAAAGTAACTCCAGCACCAGTTCTTCAGTTTTTATGAAGCTTAATAATGGGCAGCTGTAGGCTGTCTGAGGAATTCTAGAAGTTATCATTATCTCAGAACCAACTAGAGCAGTGGTTCTCAACCTTTTTAATGCTGCGACCTCCCAACCGGTCGTAAGTTGAGGACTACTCAACCGGTCGTAAGTCGAGGACTACTCAACTGGTGCAGCATCGTTTGCAGAATGGGACTTTTGGCGGGTTCAGCAGGGCAGAGACAGCCTGGACAATTCCTATTGGCTTTTGAAAGGCAATAGAATTAGACACTATTCAAGAGAGTCTATTCTATTGGCTTTCAAAAGCCAATAGAATAAAAGGAAGTAGCACAGCTAAGGAAAAGGGGGGGAAAATGGCAGACTGCGTTGTTTGGCGACCCCCATGAAATGGTCGTTCGACCCCAAATGGGGTCCCGACCCACAGGTTGAGAACCACTGAACTAGAACTAAGGAGAAATTGCCTAACAGTGAGAACAATTAATCAGTGGAACAACCTGTCTCCAGAAGTTGTGAATGCTCCAACACTGGAGGTTTTTAAGAAGAGACTGGACAACCATTTGTCTGAAATGGTATACTATAGGGTTTCCTGCCTGAACAGGGTTTGGATTAGAAGATCTCCAAGATCCCTCCCAACTCTGTTATTCTGTTATTCAGGGAAGGTGGCCCTTTTGTTATTCCTCACAGGTAATAGTGGTAGCAAGCAACTGTCAACCCGAACTTGGACTTAGACCAAACTTGGAAACCAAAGACATGCAAGCTAATACAACTTGTATTATAAGAATCTTGCAAGTATGTGAATATACTTCCCCCCTTCCTTCCTTTTTGTAATGAAAACTAGGGAGGGTCATGTTTGAGACACTCTCTCATGTGGGAAGAAGTATAATAATTGTAAAAAGAATTTTTCATTCAAAATTAAATTTATTCTTTGGAACCTACCTCCTTTTAATCATTAACAAGACCCACCAGTAGCCCAAACCTGAAAACCATGTTGCAAAAATAACCAATCCATTACTCCTGTAGTAGCTAGTGACCAGGCTAAACTAATTAACCATCACAATTAATAACAAACAGGGAAAATCCTTTACATATATTGCCTTCAAAAGTTAATTAAAATATTTTTCCCACCAGAGTTGCATGTGCATCAAGTTAAACATCACCGGAGGCACATATATACTCATGCCCTACACCCCCTCACAAAGACTAGTTTCCCTATTAAATTACCTGATCTTTTATACCCCATTTTGTAGCTACCTTCAAGTTCTGTTTATGCTTTCAAATAAACCTACCTGTCTCCTTTCCAACTGTGTGTCCATTATCATTCTTATGCAACCAAGCTTGAAACTGGACCAGAACATTCTTTGGACACTCAAATTATAGATAGTCCTCGACTTACAACAGTTCATTTAGTGACTGTTCAAAGTTACAACGGCACTGAAAAACGTGACTTATGACTGTTTTTCACATTTACATCAGTTGCAGCATCTTCAAGTTCACATAATCAAAATTCAGATGCCTAGCAACTGGTTCATATTTATGACGGTTCAGTGTTTCGGGATCATGTGATCGCCTTTTGTGACCTTCTGACACGCAAAGTCAATCGGGAAGCCAGATTCACTTAACAACTGTGTTGCTAAGTTAAAAATTGCAGTGATTCACTTAACAACTGTGGCAAGAAAGCTTGTAAAATGGGGCAAAACTCACTTAACAAATGTCCCACTTAGCAACAGGAATTTTGGCTCAATTGTGGTTGTAAGCCGAGGATCTACCTGTACATTTCTGTCCCAGAGTCTGATTTCTGTTATTTCACCTTTGCCTTGGTTATGGCATTTTCACTGATTACAATCCAGTCGAATTTCCATCTGAACTTATGGCATTAAAAAGACGATCTCTTGACGCTATTTATTAATCTTATTTTTTAAGAACAACATTTAAAGATTTTACAATTCACTGGAAAACAAATCCCAGAGCAGGAAAAAAAACCCATTAGAATCCCCATATCATATGCTACATAAATCAATTACAGAACTTTGAATGCAATTTAAAAAGGCCGACTCTGAATCTGAAAGCACCCATGACAAGCTATGTTAAACTGGAGGAGCCAAATCCAGACCTGCCTTTATGCAGAATTGACTTGGGTGTGCATGTATAAGGAATGAGGGGATAAGTGATGGAAAGAGTTGTTGTTGTTGTTAATTGCGAAGTCGTGTCCGACCCATCGCGACCCCATGGACAATGTTCCTCCAGGTCTTCCTGTCCTCTACCATCTTCTGGAGTCCATTTAAGTTCACACCTACTGCTTCAGTGACTCCATCCAGCCATCTCATTCTCTGTTGTCCCCTTCTTCTATTGCCCTCAATCTTTCCCAGCATTAGGCCCTTCTCCAGTGAGTCCTTCCTTCTCATTAGGTGGCCAAAGTATTTGAGTTTCAACTTCAGTGGAAAGAGTAGCAATCTGTATTTTCATGATACGTGGACAGACTTAACAGTAGTTTCATCTAGAAAAACTGTGAGCAACTAGACTACAAGGGAGATGGGCAGTTAAGAAGTTAGATAAATAAATAAATCCAAAAATGCTAGGAAATTCCTGGAAGTCTGGCACTCAGACAAATTGGCCATCAACAGGCACACACAGATAAAAGCATTTACACACTAGAAGCAGTAAAGAAACAATCAAAAGAAACAAATAGAAGAAACAATAAAAGCAATGAAAAAGCTAAAAGGGAAACAAAAAGATCAAAACACCTCCTTTCCAGCAATCAACTGCTAGATAAGCAAGGATTAATATCAGGAGAAGACCAAACAACATCCTAATTAAAAAAAAAACTACCAAGGAAAAAATAGCATGTCCACCAATACTGGTAGAACAAGTTACTGTATATAGAGAGCAAACCCCACTCCCTTCTGGCATTGAAGATGTCATCTAATTTGGTAATGAAGTGTGTGCAAGAAAACAACCAAGTTCAGAAAGCACTACGGACTCCACAGAGTAGCAATCTCCTAAATTTTTCCTACACCCCCAACCATTTCTCTATGTCAGATGTAGGGCTGTGGATGTCATGGATTTGCCCTCCACTGGAAAAGATTTCCATGAGGATAATTTAAAATTACATATTTAAAGCAGACCATACATCACTCTTTCTCTCACCCAGTTTAGATGTGCATTCATTCCCCTATTTCAACGCACTTGCTCTTGTCACTACAGGTAGGTTGAGATAATTCAACATATTCTTCTTTAATGTAACTTTTATAACAGTCTTCAGACAGACATCATAAACCCTTTTTTACTAAGGGACCCTGGGAGAACAATTTTTATACCCATTTTTAACTTTCAGATTCATACTAAAACAACTACACAATAGCCAAATTTACTGTTGTATTAACACTTGACATCAAACATCAATCTATTCTCTTTCCTTTTCTTTTAACTGATTGATTTTATTTGGTTTTTTTCTATTGCTGACCTCTGAGAGTAAATAAAATAATTTGAATTAGATGAATATTTATGTTTTTAGACTAGATTCTCACAACTTGCAGTTATTATTACTTAAACTATAGTTAGCAGAACTAATCATTGCTAAGACATGATTCTCACAACTTGCAGTTATTATTACTTAAACTACAATTAGCAGGACTAATCATTGTTAAGACATAACACCTTTTACAAAATACATTGGCTTACCGTTATATCAGAAATCTAATATTCAGTACTATCTTTGATAACTGAAGCATTATTAGAGGCACAGATTTTATTCCACTTACACAGTTTAAACAAAATTGCCTAAAACAGAAAACAAGAAGGAAATATACCAATCCCATATTACTTAACTTTATGGTATCCTATTGCTGCAGGCTTCTGTAACTTGAAAAAAAATCTCTAAAATAGATATCTAACTTTGTTGATCAGGTTCTAAAAACTGAATATTATGCAAATAATAGCAAAGCAGGA